TGGAGCTTGAGGTGTATCAGGCCATCATGGTGGAGATTGGAGAAGGATCTTAGCTGGATGGTGATGCTTTGGATTTACTATCAAATCTAAATCTACGCCAGTCCCCACCTGTGGTTATGAGCTCATGGTAGTAACTGAAAGAATGAGGTTGTGGATGCAAGCAGCCAAAATGAATTCCTCCGTAGGGTCGCTGGGTTCAGCCTTGGAGGTTGGATAACACGCCAGACATCTGGAAGAAGCTTGGAGTGGAGTTGCTTCTCCTTCACTTCGAGAAGAGCCAGCCATCTGATTAAAATGCTGCCTGGCACTTTGCCTTGGAGGTGCTCAAATGAGAGAAGAGAGATTATGTATCTTGTCTAATAGCAGAACCTCCTGAATCGGCAAGAGCGAGAAGATGGATGGATGGATGGATGGACGGATGGATGGATGGGTGAAAAGCTCTATAAAACCAAAGTTTGGATAAAGTTAGAAAATATTTCAAGTACTTTTGTCTGATCAGATTTGATTGTACACATGCATCCAGAAGCAGTTCAGGATGGTTGCAGAGTGGTGAAGCTTGTTTCTGGAAGGACTGAAAACATCTTCTCATCACTCCTCTCTTTTCATGCTCCATGGCTGGCTCTCCCCGAGCCTGGTTCTGCTGGAGGTCTCTTCATGTTAAAAAAGTTTTTTTCCTCTAACTGGTTTCCAAGTGCTTCCTCCCAGGGTCACAGGTCATCATCTGACTGTTGAGGTTCTCTCTCATTGTAATTATTTTATTTTATTTTCCAATAGAAAATATTTTGAGATGATCTCAAACTCAGTCTGGTCCTCACTAAAAGGCCTAACCTAGCCCAACCCTTACCATGAAAAATGAATGCATAACTTTAACCCTCAGCCCAACCATAACCATAACCTAATAACCCAGATGATGATAATAATAATAATAATAATAATAATGATAATAATAATAATAATAATAATAATAATAATAAAATGTTGAGCAAATAAATTAAATGAATTAAAGCAGCAGGATGGAAAAGCTTATGTGGGATAGGGATGTGAACAGGTGAGTTTTGATTCTGGACTTAAAAAGAGGAAGGGAAGTGATGTTTCTTATCTCAGGAGGAAGGAGTTCCAAAGACGGGGGCAGAGCAGCAGAAAGCCCTGAGCCCCACGGTGGCTAGCCGGAGAGAAGGGATGGAAAGAGAAAGAGAAAGAGAGGAGGAGGATGTAAGACACCGAGAAGGGATGGTGATCTGAACCAGGTCAGAGAGGTATGAAGGAGAGAGATGATGAATAGCCTTCAATGTGTACAAAAGTATCTGCGCCACCGGGCCCTCTGACCACCACCAGTAGACAACGGGTGAAGCGTCTCGCCCAAGGACACAACGACCGAGACTGTCCAAGCCGGGGCTCGAACCGGCAACCTTCTGATTACAAGACGAACTCAACTCTTGAGCCACGATCGCCCCACTACAGTCTGTAAACATCTGGACTTCCAGAAGAAGAATTCCCATTCTGGTCCGATGGAGGAGTCGAGCTGCTCGGCAGTCCTGGCTCTTCTTTTCCTGTCTTTGGTCCCACGAAGCTCCACATGTTCTCAGCCGGTGAAAGATCTGGACTGCAGGCACCCGGACTCTTCTACTGTGAAGCTAAACTGCCGGATGCCGTCTGTGGTTTAGCATCATCCGGCTAAAATATGGAAGCGTTCTCTGAGAAAGGTCTGGTTCAGACATATGCTGTTTAAAATCCTCTGTATACCTTTCAGCATTGATGGGACCCCTCCCACCTGAACTGGATTAGCGGGAGATGATGGATGGATGCAAAGTTAATGAACTGACGGAAAACTTTTATAAACTGGAAACAAATTTAAAAAAGCACAATTGTTTATTAATCTGAAAGAAGACAACCAGATTAATAACTGTAGGGAAAGGTTAAAAAAGCCTTCGGGGGTGGATTAATAATCTGGCCTCATTTAGCTGCAAACAGGTTTATTAATGAGTGTTTTTTTAACTGCTGATGTTTTATGGTTTCACAAGTAAAAAGAGAAGATTATCTAATCTTATAATGAAGCGTAGTTTCAGGTTTAGTTTGGGTTCAGGTGACGTTAGGCTTAGGTCAGAGACTGAGGGTGTAAATGCTTCAGATGCTTAGACTTTAGGAAATGCCAGCACACATGCTGGTTTTACACGAGAACTAAATGAGCATCCGCTCTTTAAACTGGTGCGGTCCAACCC